GCAACGGATCGCAACCCTCAGTGTCGCCCCCTTACCGGACCGGGACCAGCAACGGGATCGCAACCCTCGGTGTTGCCCCCGCGCCTCGCTCAGCCAGTGAGCGGGAACCGGTCTGCATGTGGGATCCAAACCCTCGGCGGGAGCGCCGCCGCGCTTCCCAAGCGGCGCACTATAGCAGTGTGCCACCGGGCCGGCCCAAAATATGATCATTTTTATTAGGATTATTGAAAATAAAACTTATTAGAGGAGAGTTCTGAGTCCTCAGTATTTCAAATGAAATTGTACTTAATACTTTTGGATTTTACTTGACCTATGACTGTACAGTCTTTTTTTCTTTCTCTAATGTGAATTGTGTCATTTTCTGTGTATTTGGTTTTTACCAAGTAGATGACCGTATCATGGGACTCAACAGCACAGTGCAGTAGGAAAATAAAAACTGTCAAAGAACTGTATCAGCACTGAGTTTGAAAACACAGTTTTCTTGTCTTTTCTAAAGAAACAGCATACCAGTTGTGACCGAGCAGCCCCTCGTTTCTGCCGGAGAAAGCAGAGTGCAAGTACTGAAAAACGTGCCCTTTAACATTGTCCTTCCCCATGGCAACCAGCTGGGCATTGATAAGAGAGGCCATCTGACAGCTCCTGACACAACAGTCACTGTCTCCATAGCAACACTGCCTACCCACTCCATCAAGACAGAAACCCAGCCACACGGCTTTGCTGTGGGAATCCCCCCAGCAGTGTATCATCCTGAGCCCACTGAGCGGGTGGTAGTTTTCGACCGGAACCTTAATACTGACCAGTTCAGCTCTGCCGCTCAACCCCTCAATGCGCAAAGGCGAACTCCGGACTCTACCTTCTCAGAGACCTTCAAGGAAGGCGTTCAGGAGGTACAGGAAACAAAAACATCTTCCTAAGATGGCTTGTGTTTGTATAAGTATTGGGTTCCACTTTTTCCTCATTATGTAAGCTTGAAACTCAGCCTGAAATGAATGGATTAGTAATAAAAGATTTTTTTTAGAGAAAAGGCCAATGGATATAATTTGTAAACTAAACCTATAAAACCAAAAATTATTATCAAGGGCACATGGCTAATCTTACCAAGCAGCTGAGTTAGACAATTATGATTTCAGCTAAGTGATTTGCTGGAGAAAGAGAGAGAGAGAGAGAGCTCCATACATAATCTTCCATTGACAACAGATACATTCACATGGTTTGTTCTCAGCTTTTGTACGAGACCAAAACAAATTCCCTACAACTGGTCTTAATAGAAAATGATTTATCATGTATTTGCTTGGTGTTTATTTGGTCGGAAGTATGTAAGGGAGGAAGATAGATCAGGAGTGCATTGTGTGAAATTTACAAATTAATTCCACATAGTTCTGAGAGTTTTATTATGATGAACACCTCACTCAGGTAAAAGTTAGGGACCAAAGTTGTTTGAAACTGTAATGACTTGGTGGACAAAAAGAACATCTATCTCTGCTTATGGGTTAGGAGAAGAATAGTATTCTTCCCTGAGAAAAAGCATCAAATCCAACCAGCCACGGTGCAAACTTGATACTATATCTTAACTTGGTACAATGATAAAGTGACTCCTAAAAGTCATGAAATTTTGGTTGCAGAGTCTAGAGTTTGAACGATTAGGTTTATGTGGGAAAGATAGAAAATGGGGATAATGAATCACAAGCACTTTGTGGGAGTACCTACATAGATTGTCTTAATTTACTTGAGTGGTATATAAAAGTAGATATTTTCTTTTTTTTAATTTTTACAAATTTTTGGTAGATTTAAAATTTTTATTTGGAAATGAATATTGAAAGGTTAGTGGGTTGCTGTAAGCCACATACCTTTATGCTGTACCAGACCTTGGTCTTTAGTAACCATGATAACCAGTTAAATAGTTGTGGCTTATTACATTGATATTTCAGGTTTTCTTCCCCTCGGATCTCAGTCTGCGGATGCCTGGCATGAATTCAGAGGACTATGTTTTTGACAGTGTTTCTGGGTAATAGTTGTCTTTTGATTTGATTTTTAATTTTCAGCTTTTATGACTGTTCCTTCTTTGTTAATTTGATATCGATAAATCAGAGGTGGCTTTAGCGGGGTTTCACCTTTTTCTACCACATTTACCGTGGTAATATCTTGGGTAGAGGACATCTGCTTCAGTGCATTTAATTTTGAACTCTTTGACCTATGTTTCAAGTTTCCTTAATTCTTGGTGTTGGTGCTTTTTCTTTCCTTTGGTTTCTTTATGTGATGGTGACAGAATGGAATCTAAAAGGAGAGATGAGGGGATTAAATTAGATCTCAGGTCCCTTCTGTTTCCTAAGTATATAATTAGGTGAAAATTTAAGAGTAACGTCAAGCGGATACAGGCTTTTATTTTTTTATTAGCCTCACTAATGATAAAATAAGCAAAGTCAACTTTTTTTGACCTTCATTTTTTTTTTTAGAAGAGTCTGGGATTTCATTTTATAGCTTTCTCTTTTATTTATTTATTTTTTAACATGATATATTTTGCAACTAAAAAGGTTTTTTTAAGTCTAGGATTTTATGAGAGTTGAGACTTCCCTTACAGATCTGCCTCAGGGTGTAGGAGTCACAAACTCAAATGCCTTCAGGCTTTAGGATAGGGGTGGGCAAACTTTTTCCTGTGAAAGGTCAGATAATAAATATTTTAGGCTCTGTGGTCTGTACAGCCTTTGTATGTTTTTGCAACTACCCAGCTTTGCTGTTATAGTACAAAAATAGCCAAAGACAGTACATAAATAAATGGTGTGGCTGTCATCTAATAAAACTTTGTTTACAGGGCCGGCCCGTGGCTCACT